TGTTTCTGCATAATCCTGCCCCACCAAACTCAATTCTTTCTACCTTGATTCCATTCTCTCCCTCTTGGTCCAGGCACTTCCCGCCTACAACCAGGACACAAACCATGCCCTCCACCTCTCTGGAAACTTCCAGCTCCCTGGTCTCCAGCGCTTCATCTTTATTATGGACGTACAACCCCTATATAAGTCCATATCCCATGAGGACAGCCTACAGGCCCTCGGCTTTTTCCTCTCCAACAGACTCGTCCAGTGCCCACCCCTCCCCCCTACCAATACCATCCTCCATCTCGCCGAACTAGTCCTCACCCTCAATAACTTTTCCTTTAATTCTTCCACTTTCTCTAAATCCAGGGGGTTACCAACGGCACTTACATGGGCCACAGCTACACATGCCTGTTTGTTGGTTATGTCAAAAAGTCTCTCTTCAGTACGTACACTGGCACTGTTCCCCAACTCTTTCACCGTTACATCAGTGATACGTCCTGCACCCAGGCTGAACTGAAACAGTTCACCGATTTCGCTAACAACTTCCACCCCGCCCTCAAATTCACTTGGTTCATCTCAGACACCTCCCTCCCCTTTCTTGACCTCTCCATTTCCGTTTCCAGTGCTGGTGACAGTTTATAGACCGACATTTATTATAAACCACAGACTCTCATAGCTACCTAGACTACACCCCCTCCCACCCTGTATCCTGCAAAAACTCCATCCCGTTTTCCCAATTCCTCGGTCTCTGTCACATTTGTTCTGACGAGGACACATTTCACTCCCAAACATTCCGGATGGCCGCCCTTTTCAAACAATGCTCTTCGCACACCCCAAACCCCCACCACCCCGTCATCCAGACAGCCCTCCACCGTGCCTCCTCCATTCCTCACTCCACAGCTTTTAACCACCACCTCCTCCAAACATAATAATAATAGGGTCCCCCCTTGTCCGCACCTTTTCACTCCACCAGCCTCCACATCCAATATGTCATCCTCAAACACTTCCGCCAATTCCAAATTTGATCCTACCACTCAGAACATCGTCCACTCCCAACCCCTCTCTGCCTTCCACAAGGACCATTCCCTTCGCCATTCCTTAGCTCGCACCACACTCCCCACCAACCACTCCAACCTGCCTGGTACCTTCCCCTGTAACCGTACAAGATGCAACATCTGCCCACACACCACCCCTCTCACCTCCATCCAGGGCCTTAAACAGTCTTTCCACATGAGACTTCACCTGCACCTCCTTCAACCTAATCTATTGCATCCAGTGCTCCTGATGTGGTCTCCTCTATACCGTTGAGACCAAATGTAGACTGGGTGACTATTTCGCCGAGCATCTCCGCCTGGCCCATAAAGGCCAGCCTAACCTCCCAGTCATCGCCCACTTCAACTTCCCATCCCCTTCTGACATGTCCGTCCTCTGCCTCCTCCAGTGTTGCAGCGACTTGTACCTCAAATTCGAAGAACACCACCTTATCTTCTGCCTGGGCACCCTACAGCGCACAGGATTCAACATGGAGTTCTCCGATTTCAAATAACCTTGCCACCCATCCCCCAGCTCCCTTCCATTTCACCTTCTGACCCTCCCACCCAGCCACCAACCAGATTCACCCCTCCCATTGACAAACTAGGTCATACTTACCACCAGTGTCCACCTATTACCACCATTTCGCTTCCAACCACACCCCCCCACCTTGTATCTACAGCTCCCCCAGCCCCATATCCAGTCCTGAAGATGGGTAATATCCAAAACGTTAACTTCTCCTTTCCTCCACATGCTGCCTGACTTGCTGTGTTCTTCCAGTATCCTGTCTGCCTACCTTGGATTCCAGCATCTGCAGTTTGTTTTTTTAATCTCACCTCACCAGAACAGCACCCTTCTCTGCCAGTACAGGTGCCAGTGCCCTAAGAATTGAAACCCATTCCTCTAACACCAATCTTTGAGCCATGCATTTAACTCCTCAATTTTATCTCCCTTCTGCCAGTTTTGTCAATAGCACAGGTAATAATCCGAAGACTATTACCTTTGAGTTTCTGCTTTCTAATTTAGTTCCTAGTTGTTCAAAATCTTTGAACAGATCCTTCCTTGTAGTTCTATCAATGACATTGAAACCAACATGAACAGCAACTGGATCTCTCCCCTCCCAAACCAAGGAGGGGAAAGATGTCTCTAATCCCAGAACTGGTCAGGCAAAAAGTTTTCTGGACACATGCTCACGGCTACACAGAATAATATTCACTTGGCTAAATATACTGTCCCCGACCACTACCACCTTCCCACAGCATCCTGTACTACAGTGCTGTCAGGCCTCCTCTTGTCCACACAACCTGCAAGAACCTCCAGGGTTCAAGGCTCTTTAAAAGTTAGCCCTTGGGTCTCCACACCTGCCATCACATGCTCCAGTCTTGATTACAAAATCTAAGTGACCTGTCGCTAAGTGTCCAGGTAACTTTACCCTCCCTCATGGAGGTTCATCATCAGCAACCTGCAGTCCTGCTCTTCTGAAGTTGCTGGAGCTATAAGCACGTTACAGATGTGTTCACTCTGAATCACATTGGTGTCCAAAAGCTCCCATAGACAGCAGCAGAAACGTCACCTGACCTGCCATCTCTATCATATTTAACTTACTAATACACTCTAATGGGGGTGTTATTACTCAGTTGGCTGGACATCTGGTTGATGCAGGATGATGCCAATAGCATACGTTCTATTCCCACACTGGTTGATGTTATCATGAAGGATTCCTGCTTTCAACCCTCCTCTGCCTAAGGTGTGGTGACCCTCAAGTTATGCCTCCACCAGTTATGTCTCTCTCTCTCTAATGAGAAAGCATCCTTAACCTCTGGTAAGACTATGGTAACTTTACTTTATACACTCTAGTATCCCTGCTCTTTACCATTCATTGTACACCAGTACAATGCCACAGCTTGCCGAACAAGCTATTTTAAGAAAAAGAGAAACAAAAGACGAGAGACCAAAGTGCAAACTAAAGATCTTCCTTTTACTGTAACGACTAGAAATACTGATCAATCCTACTCAATCGGCTGCTTTGTTCAGGCAAAGCAACCACCAGGCACCTCTTTCCATCCTCTGTCCCACCCCTCAATAAACTCAACATCAGCATTCTATTGTAAATTGCACTAAGATGGCTATTCATACCTGTTCCTAACAGAGGATCTGAGTCACTTAATGAAGATCAGGTTTCAACTGGTTCTTAATTAATCTGCTTTCATTGTAACAATCCTATTTAAGGTGAGCACCTACAGAATTTAATCTGTAGATTTCAGTTTAATGCCAATTATAAACTAAATTAGGCTAAGACAACAAGGCGTAGAGCTGGATGAACACAGCAGGCCAAGCAGCATCAGAGGAGCAGGAAAGCTGACGTTTTGGTCTAGTCCCTTCTTCAGAAATGGGGGAGGGGAAGGGGATTCTGAAATAAATAGGGAGAAAGGGGGAGGTGGATAGAAGATGGATAAAGGAGAAGACAGGTGGAGAGGAGACAGACAGGTCAAGAAGGCGGGGTCGGAGCCAGTAAAGATGAGTGTAGGTGAGGAGTTAGGGAGGGGATAGGTCGGTCCAGGGAGGATGGACAGGTCAAAGAGGCAGGATGAGGCTAGTAGGTAGGAGATGGGGATGGGGCTTGAGATGGGAGGAGTGGACAGGTTAGGGAGGCAGGTACGAGCTGGGCTGGTTTTGGGATGCGGTCGGGGGAGGGAAGATTTTGAAGCTTGTGAAGTTCACATTGATACCATTGGGCTGCAGGGTTCCCAAGTGAAATATGAGATGCTGTTCCTGCAACCTTCGGATGACATCGTTGTGGCACTGCAGGAGGCCCAGGATGGACATGTCGTCCAAGGAGTGAGAGGGGGAGTTGAAATGGTTCGCGACTGGGAGGTGCAGTTGTTTGGTGCGAACCGAGCGTAGGTGTTCCACAAAGCGGTCCTCAAGCCTCCGTTTGGTTTCCCTGATGTAGAGGAGGCCACAAAGGGAACAGTGGATACAGTATACCACATTAGCAGATATGCAGGTGAACATCTGTTTGATGTGGAAGGTCTTCTTAGGGCCTGGGATGGGGGTGAGGGGAGAGGTGTAGGGGCAGGTGTAGCACTTGCTCCGGTTTCAGGGAAAAGTGCTGGGGGTGGTGGGGCTGGTGGGGAGTGTGGAGCGGACAAGGGAGTCACGGAGAGAGTGGTCCCTCCGGAAAGCAGATAAGGGTGGGGAGGGAAAAGTGTCTTTGGTAGTGGGGTCGGATTGGAGATGGCAGAAGTTCGGAGGATGATGCGTTGGATCCGGAGGTTGGATGAGGGGGATTCTGTTTTGGTTATTATTGTGGGGAGGGTGTGTGAGGGATATGTTGCGGGAATTAGGCTAAATTATGTTTGTACATGTTAAAGATCAGACTTTCTCATCCAGAAAACGCATTAGGTCAGATTTCAGGAAACTCTAGGAATATTTCCAAGCAAGTTATGTTGAGAATCTGAGTACCTACAATTACATCAAGGATGCTGACTCTGGTTTAGCTCAATACCTGGCCAAAGTTACAACCTCCAGTAAATCATCTAAATTGGTTAAATTGAGGGATGATAGATATAGGACAGATGTCAGAGGTAGGTTCTTTACTCAGAGTAGCAAGGGCGTGGAAGGCCCTGCCTGCAAAAGTAGTAGACTCGCCCACTTTAAGGGCATTTAAATGGTCATTGGATAAACATATGGATGATAATGGAATAGTTTAGGTTAGATGGGCTTCAGATTGGTTTCACAGGTCGGCGCAACATCGAGAGCCGAAGGGCCTGTACTGCACTGTATTGTTCTTTGTTCAAGTCAGTGGATTGTGTACATTGGGTCTCTACTGCTGCTCTATGACCTGCTCACAAGTAAATATTCCTTCAAGATGTAGATACATTATTTTTAAGTAAAGGAAGCTTTAATAGAAAAGTTCATTTCAAATAGGTAACACCTGGAACAATGCACAAGCAAACAACAATTATTTAAACCTTCAGTACCTGAAGTCTGATGTGGGCATTTCATTAAGACTTCTGGTGCTCTGAATCCTGGAGTACCTGCTCTTGGGGCAACTTGTTGGCGTCTAATGATAAAAAAGTTATCTTATTACACGAAAGCAACCACATATGAAACAAACAAATGAGATATTTCCAATCATTTCTACTGAACATACTTTTCAAATCAGGTGTTTTACAACTACATCTCAGATTGTCATTTAAATTTCAGTTTCTTTCCCTTGTACTACTTTAGTCAGACTGCCCTACTTGCTGGAGGTACAGCAACACAAATAGGGTCTCTAAATGCTGCTTCACTCAGGATCTTTCAGAGGATAAACTGAATAGCTGTTTGTCCACGCTATACATACCCAGTAATGACATAATGCAGGCCAGTTATAGAGAGAGAATTTTCCTTTCACTTTTGGACTCAGTACAGTCAAAAGCATACAAAAATCAAAGGAATTAAACAATTTAAGAGCGATACTGCCACACTACCGTTCATGTAAGAATGATTTCTAAACACTTCTCTAGTTGGCACAAGTAAACTAATACAATCTGATTACAAAACTTTGAAAATAAGAGATTACAGTGTAGGAAATACTCATTCATTGGGGCTTTAATGAATCATGAGGTGAGCATTAAGATCACTGACTTTCATCCCACAATATGGTTAAGCACAATTTATGTTGTTTTCTTTGTGGGTATCATAGAACCAGTTAGTGTGGGAAGTAAAGCTTCACATCAGGAAAAGTAGTTAGATCTTTGAATAAAGTTCGTTATTTTGATAATGTAAGCACCTTTCTTAAGAGGGCTTTTTTTTTCCCCTCTGAAGCTTTAAAAGAAATGATCAATTTTCTTACATCACATCTCCATTTAGATTACTGAGTTGCTACAATTTAATGAAACATTTGGAATTTGATTCTGAATTTCAGACAGCTTTCAGTAAGTACAAAAACAAAGTTGCTGGAACACACAGCAGATCTGGCAGCATCTGTGAAGGAAAAAACAGAGTTAATGTTTCGGGTCCAGTGACCCTTCCTCAGAACTGATGGTGGCTGGGAAAATGTCAGTTTATATGCAGAAAATAGGGAGATGGGTGGGGTAGGGAGTAAATGATAGGATAGAGCCCAAAGAGAGAGAGAAAGACAGTTGGACAGACAAAGGAGTTGATAACGATCAGACTGGGAGGGTGAATAGTTGTTAATGGGCACTATTAGTGACTAACAACAGGGGTGTGTGTGTAATGGCAGGCTATGTGGTAACAAGGCCTGGTGGGGGGCTGGGACTTGGGAGAGTTTAGGCCCTAAAATTATTGAACTCTATACAGAGTCCGAAGGGCTGCAGGGTCCCCAAGTGGAAAATGAGGTGTTCTTCTAGCTTGCGTTGAGCTTCCCTAGAACACTGCAGCAAGCCAGTGACAGACATGTTGGCTAGGGAACAGGGTGGTGCGTTCAGGGTCTTTTTTGCGAGCAGAACGTAGATGTCTACGCTTCATATCCCCAATACAGAGGAGACCACATTGTGAGCAGCGAATGCAGTAGACTAGATTCGGGCAAGTGCAGGCGAAGTGTTGCTACACCTGGAAGGTATGTTTGGGCCCTTGGATTCTGGGGAGGGAGGAGGTAAATGGGCAGGTGTTGCACCTTCGCTGGTTACAGGGGAAGGTGCTTTCGGGCTGTTGGGGGTGAAGGAAGTGTGGACCAGGGTGTCCCGAAGGGAATGGTCCCTGCCAAAGGCGGACAACAGAGGGGAGGGGACTCTGTGTCTCGTGGTGGCATCTTGCTGAAGTTTGATGATCTTCTGGATGTGGATGCTGGTGGGATGGTAGGTAAGGATAAGGGGAACCCTATCGCTGTTACGGAAGGGAAGAGAAGGGGTGAGGATGGAAGTGTGGGACATGGTTTGGACCTGGTTGAGGGCCCTGTCAACAATGAAACTGGGAAATCCTCGGTTGAGGAAGAAGGTGGACACTTCAGAGGCTCCCTTGTCGAAGGTGGCCTCATCTGAACATATGCGACAGAGACGGAGGAACCAAGAGAATGGAATAGAGTCTTTACAGGAAGTGGGGTGTGAGGATGTATTGTCCAGGTACTGTGAGAGTCAGTGGATTTGTAGTGGATATTAGTGGTCAGTCTATCTCCAGAAATGGAAACAGAAATGTTTTTATTTATCTTTCAGTAAGTGTTCATCTGCTGTACAGGTTTGTAACTCAATAACTGGTACAGTCACATCATAAGTGAAAGTCCTCTGCAAAAATATTCAACTACATGAATGAGTAGGATATGGTGTGAAACAGGACAGAGGCAGAGTTTTAGATACCCTCAAGGTAGAATGTTGAAGACAAGCCCGGGAATGTTGAGTGTTGGAATAATCAAGGCAACGATTAACAAAGAAGGTTTCAGCAGTCGAATGAGCTGCGCTAAGAGTGGAGTCAGGCAGTGTTAGAGAGTGGAAATACTTTATTTATGCTTTTTATGGGATCTGGGCACTGACAAAGCCAGCACTTGTTGCCCATTTCTAATTGGCCATGAACCTAGTGACTTGCTCGGCCATTGCAGAGGGCAGTTAAGAGTCAACTATATTGCTGCAAATTAAATTTTAACCACAATTGATGACTGTTGTTATGGTCTCCATTAGAGGCCAGTTTTCAAGTTCAGACCTATTAACTGAATTTTAAATTTCAACAGCTGTTAGGGTAGGATTTGAACCCAAGACCAGAAAGCATGAGTCTGGACCTCTGGATTATGAGTCCAGAAACTTAAAATTTTCGAGAAGATTTGTAGCTCAGGTTGTGGATGAGGTTGTAGACTTGCTTGCTGAGTTTGGTTGCAAATGTTTCATCACCCTGCTAGGTAACATTGTCAGTGTGCCTCCGGTGAAGCGTCAGTATTCTGTCCCGCATGCTGTTTATACGCTTCGGTTTGCTGAGGTGGTTGGTATTACTTCCTGTTCTGTTTCTCAGTGGTTTGTAAACAAGGTCTAATTCAATGTGTTTGCTGATGGAGTTTCGGTTGGAATACGATGCCTCCAGGAATTCCCCGGCGTGTCTCTGTTTGGCTGTTTGTGTTTATCGATATGTTGTCCCAGTCGAATTCGTATCCCTCGTTGTCCGCGCGCAGTGAGACAAGTGAAAATTGGCCGTGTCTCTTGGTGGCTAATTGGTGCTCATTTATCCGTATAGTCAATTTTTTTCCGGTTTGGCCTATGTAGTGTTTCTCACAGTCCTTGCAAGGTATTTTGTATATAACCCCCGTTTTGCTGGTTTTGGGCATGGGATCCTTTATGTTAGTCAGTAGCCATTGTACAGCGGTTGTTGGTTTGTGGGCTACTCTGATACATAGGGGTCAGAAAATTTTGTGCCAGAGTTAACAAATTAACAAAGTCAGGAAAAGGCTGGATAATTGTCGACTGTGCTGCAGAATGACATTACTAATTGCCACTCATGTCATTTTCTAATTCCCAAATCGGACTAATCTGTGCCTGAGTGATCTTGGTAATTCAGTGTTGATTGGGTGCAGTTTTCAGTAGCAGCTTAAGTTGAAAGACTGTGGACTGACTTATCTCAAAACTTGTTTCATGGAAGAATCTCACATCCAATAAACTAGGGACTTTCACTCAATCAATCTTGTTGGGTTTAACCATAATGTAACATTTATAGAATGCCCTTAATACAGAAAAATATCTTTTTGCTTTCCAGAAGCTCAATCAAGCAAAAATGGTTGCTGAGCGAAAGCAAATGTTACGAGGCTTGACCATAAGAGGGAAGGACCATTCAGAAGGGGTGGGGCGGGGCTGTTACTCAATAGGTAGCACTACTGCCTCACAGTGCCAGAGACCTGGTTCGATTCCCATCTTGGGCGTCTGTGTGGTGTGTGCATGAGTTTCTGCTGGGTGCTCCAGTTTCTTCCCACAGTCCAAAGAACTGCACATTAGGGGGATTGGCCATGTCTGTTGTATCCAGGGATATGCAGGCTAGGTGGATTTGCCATGGTAAAAATGTGGGGTTACAGGGATAGGGTGGGGGTATGGCTCTTTGGAGGGTCGGTGCACACTTGATGGGCCAAATGGCCTCTATCTGCACTGTAGGGAATAAAAATAAACTTGCACAATTGTACAAGCTTGGGCAGAGGCAGGGAGATGATGGAGAGAAAGATAACAAGAGATTTATGGAGGAATTTATAGAGTCCATGGCCTAGGTACAATGGTGCAGTGATTAAAATTTGATATACGAAAGAGGCAAGACTTGGAGTATTGTAGGTCTGCAGGAAGATAGAGGGGGTAAGGCTGTGGAAGTACTTGTGAACAAGTGTGAGAATTGTTAACCTGAGGCACAAATAACAGTATCTATACAATTCATTGTGGGCTTGAGTACACAACATAAAACTGCACTAAATTAATGCTGAGCTGCAAGTCATAAAGATAATGAGATAATAAAGCCTGGAAACCATTCCCAATGGTGTATGCTTAATGCATCAGAGGTTCACATCAAAGTAAATTGATAAATAACAGATTAAGTTTAGCTTGCCACTAGCCCTTATTGTACTAACATTGAGATTACAATAGTTCAAGAGGTAGGTAGGAATTTCAGTTCTTGTCAAACATGACCTGCTAAACATGCAATTCTCAACATATAATTCACACAATTTACAACATCATTTTATCCTAAGAAAATTACTTTAGATTTTTAAAAGTTATTTTGCAAATGAACACTTCAGCTTTAATACATTAATGCATTTAGAAATCTTACATTTAAAAATAATTGCTTAAATTATTCATTTTTCTTTACCTTGAGAGACAAACACTGCAAATCCTATCTGTTGTGTAACAATCACAAGTTAGTTCTGATGGACAAACGGCATGCCTCCGGCTTAAGCTGCCTGTTGTACAATTAGTTGTTATCTTGCGTTTTGCCACTATTATTTTTCTGGATGGAACATCTGCATTTTTTGTAGGTCTCACTGGCTGTAAAACAAAGAACTAACCTGGAGAAAGCTGATCTTTTGCAGACATTACAAACATCTAAATGAATGTAGCAGACCAATCCATGCATGTGCAATAATTAGCGGAAGCTATACACTAATGCTCAATTAGGTCCCGTATACCTTGGTCTTTATTATCACATATTTCCTGATAGAAGAACCAAGGATCTTTTAATAGGCATGCTTGCTATGGTGGACGTTAGGATCGATCAGGCACTGGGTGGCTGGAGGTTGGCAGTGAGGCACTGATTAAGGAGGGGATGTATTAGGCATGCCTTCAAAATCCCCCTGAAGACATCAAACATCCCTACCAACTTACGGGGTCTCTGGCTTGTAACTGACCAAAATGGAGATGTATTCACGCAGGCACTGAATACACTGAGAGAATCTGCCAGGAGTATGTAGAGGCAATGTTGAGGTATCAGACAGGGGGCACAAACCTCCAAACGCCTAATTCTGTCCCACAAATACAAAAAAAATTACCAGAAAAATTCAGCATCTGTGGAGTACCTGGTTCTGAAAAGGCTCATTGGACCTGAAACGTTAACTCTGATTTCTCTCCACAGATGCTACAGATCTAAGTTTTTCCAGGAATTTCTGTTTTTGTTTTTGATTTCCAGCATCCACAGTTCTTTCAGTCTTTTGTTTAGTACCTAATCTGTTTAACCTTCAAGGACCAGATGACCTGCATGTGGACGAATGTGCAGGTCATGAAGACTTATCAGCCATCTCAGAAGCTAGACTGGAAGTAAGTTATCCTTGACTCCAAGTACTGCCTGGTAAGAGTAGTAAAATACGGTTCAGGAGTTCATTTTAAAACAAAATATCAAAGTTAACAAATTATGGAGATGCAATATTGAAATTTCAGTAAACTGTAATAGTTGAAGATAGTAATGTGCAATAAGCTATCGCCTTCCAGGATTATATATTTTACAGAATAAATCCTTGGAAATCATTACATGGGATTTTTTTTTTCCTATTCATATGTGGGATGTGGGTGTCGCTGGCTGGCCAGCATTTATTGCCTATCCCTTGTTGCCCTTGAGAAGGTGGTGGTGAGCTGCTTTCTTGAACCGCTACAGTCCTCCTGCTGTGGGTTGATCCACAATGCTATTAGGGAGGGAATTCCAGGATTTTGACCCAGCGACAGTGAAGGAACGACGATATATTTCCAAGTCGGGATGGTGAGTGACTTGGAGGGGAATTTGGAGGTGGTGGTATTCCCATGTGTCTGATGCCCTTGTCCTTCTCAATCGAAGTGGTCGTGGGTTTGGGAGGTGCTGTCTGAGGAGCTTTGGTGAATTTCTGCAGTGCATCTTGTAGATAGTACACACTGCTGCTACTGAGCGTCGGTGGTGGAGGGAGTGAATGTTTGTGGATGTCGTGCCAATCAAGCCGGCTGCTGTCAAGCTTCTTCAGTGTTGTTGGGGCTGCACTCATCTAGGCAAGTGGGGAGTATTCCATCACACTCCTGCCTTGTGCCTTGTAGATGGTGGACAGGCTTTGAGGAGTCAGGAGGTGAGTTACTCAGGAGGATTAGTACATTTGGCTTGTGGAAGAACTGTGTTTGCATTTTAATTAGTTTATGTGTAAACGGGAGTGCAATTTGGGTGCCAATTACTACAGATGCTGGAAATTATACTGAAAACGAAAACAAAAACAAAATGCTGGAAATCACAATGGGTCAGGCAGCATCCATGGAGAGAGATCAAAAACAGAAGTTGCTAGAAAAGCTCAGCAGGTCTGGCAGCAACTGTGAACAAAAATCAGAGTTAACATTTTGGGTCTGGTGACCCTCCCTCAGAACAGAGACAGAGCAAGCTAACGTTTCAAGTCCAGATGAATCCTCATCAGAGCTGATATGCAGCATGAAGGGGGCAGCATTTATGCAATGGTCGGGGTGAGGGTTGGAGTGCTGGGGAGAGGGGCTGCTGATTGTGCAGATTAAGTGATTGGAATGTGAGAATGGCAGAACAGTGGTATGTCTAACTGCCAAACAGGACAGAATAGATAGAGCCATTGCAGTGGGAGGAGGGGAGAGAAGAGTGAAATCTGGGTACATTTTCTCATTTGAGGCATTGGAGGAAACACCAGGCCACAGTGCCTTAAATGTATTACAATTGTCTGGGCCAGGCTTAATAGAGTTGCTTTCTTCTAGGTGTCTTTTTGTATGTTCATGTGTAAACACATGGAGAACAACAATCAAATTATCACTTATTTACAATTAGAATTGATAGATTTAGATTTCGGTTTGTCCAAAAATTGTACAATTGTAAAAACAAGCTGTGCATGCAATGGGTTAATAACTTCTTACCTTACTGCTTGTACCTTCAAAAACGTCAGTGCTACGGACATTCAAATTTCTTTCCCCAAATACAGAGCGTGGAACTGATGAATCTCCCTATAATAAAAAATGAATAGTTATTCGCATGGCTTATAATGGCATGATATATGTAAAATAACATACAAGCCAAATCATATCCTTCTATTGGAAGTGGTGATATTTCAATGCAAGATAAAATCCTTAGTTAAAAATACGATAAATTGTGCATTGCATTAAGCCAGCTCACAGCACCCTATTATTACCTGGAAGTTTGCAAAGAAGCTGCACGTTCTAGAAAAGAATTGTCCATTTAGTCCCACTCTCTTTCCCTATTTTTCTATGTGTTATTAGCGTTATGACCAATTCTCCGCTTTTCAATGTTAGCATTGATGTTGCTTCCACCATTCTTTCAGAAATGTATTTCAGATTATTACAACTTTCTGCATAAAAAATATTTCTACTTCCTCTGGTTCTTCTACTAATTGTGTTAAAAGATTTGACTTCTGGATAACAACATTGTTCTAATGAAATTAGTTTCTCCTTGCTTCTTTTAATTTTTTTTATAATTTAGAACATACGCATTTTAAAGCGGATAGCAACTGATACAGAATAATATATAATGTAATCACAAACTAATAAGATCTGCATCAAACGCCACAGTGATAATTGTTGACAAAACCAGGTGGACAGGAGTAGGACTCTTTCCACACTGCAATTCAGAGATTCCAAACAAAGAGTTGTTCAGAAGCAGCACAAGTTATTCAATTAACATTCATGCCAAAAGTGTCAGGCAATGGCCATCTTTAACAATGTGAATCTAAATATTGATCCTTGGCACATGACCATCACTGAATCCCTCACCGTTAAACTCCTAGGAGTTACCATTGACCAGAAACTGATTTGGATTAGTCATAATCGTACTGTGGCTACAACAGCAGGTCAAAGCCTCACCTAATTCACCAAAGCCAGTCAATCATCTACAAGGCACAAGTCAGGAATATGATGGAATATTCCTCACTTGCCTGGATGAATGCAGCTCCAACAACACTGAAGAAGTTTGACACTACTGAGGACAAAGCAGCCCACTTGAATGGCACCACATCCATAAACAGTCATTCTACCACTGATGCTCAATACACACTGCTACTACTATCTACAAGGTACACTGCAGCAATTCACCAAGGCTCCTTAGACAGCACGTTCCAAACTCAACCACCGGCAGCCTATACCATAAAAAGCATCCTATATGGATGTAGCACAGTGTGGCATGGCAACTGCTCTTCCCAAGAAACTACAGAGTCATGAACACAGCCCAGTAAATTATGTAAAATAGCCTTCCATCCATTGACTCCGTCTACATTTTCTGCTGCCACAGGAAAGCAACTAACATAATCAAAGACCCCTCTCAGCATGTTTATGCTGTCTTCCATCCTCTTCTGTTAGGCAGAAGACACGAAATGTTTGATTACACACATGAACAGATTCAAGAACAGCTTCTTCCTCACTGATCAGATTTTTGAATGGACTTCTTAAATATAACATTGACCTCTCTTTGCACCTTTTCTGTGGCTGTAACACTATATTCTGCGCTCTGTTCTGCTGCCTGATGCACTTCGTGCGCTTCAATCTGCCTGTATAGCACCCAAAACAACACTTTTCACTCTTGGTAGGTGACAACAATAAACCAAACTCAAACCTTCTAAAGGGCAATGAGAGAGAGGGAGAGAGAGAGTAAAAGGAGACTGTGCCACAGTCGAGGGTGGTACCTCTGAAATGTAAAACTAATAATAAACACAGAACAAAATGTTTGGAAATATTACTTCATGAAAAGAGTGATTAAAAATCTGAAATGTAATATTGGTAAGGAAGTGAAGGAAACATACCTTACAACATTTAAAGGATAGCCGAACGCTGTCACTATTTTTTGCATAGACACGCAAGCAATAAAATGTTACAGAAGCTGTAAATGTTTATTCTAAAGAGAAGATTCAGGAATTCTAAGCATTCAAGATCCTAACGGGTATGCACGATAAGCTTTGATAAACTGAATGGATACAGATTAAGCTCAAGGCTCTGTTGAAGAGGGAAAAATCACAACAAACAGAGGAGATTATGCAGCAACAGTCTACCGTGCCAATTGATAAGATCTTAGCTGATCTGACTGCGGCTTTAACTCTATTGTTCTGCCTTTTGCCATAACTCTCAACTTCTTTCTTGATCAGAAACTACTCCTGCGCATTGATCAAAAATTTAACTCAGCCTTCACTGCTCTCTGTGGAAGAGAATTCCAAAGGCGAGCAAACCTGAAAAAAAAAATTTCATCCCAATTCAGTGGGAAACCTCTTGTTCTCAAACTGTGCCTCAAATTCTAGATTCCTGCACAAGAGGAAACATTCTCTCAGAATTTACTTCAGAACCTTATGTTTCAACAAGACCACACTTTGTTCTGCTAAGGAACAACTACGCACAATATGTGCTAACGATTTAAATGAGGGAAGTAAATGTAACATCTCAAAATTTGCAGATGACACAAAGCTGCCTGGAAAGGTGAGCTATGAGGAGAATGTTGCAGTGTGATTTGGACAGGCTGAGTAGATGGGCAAGTGCATGGCAGATGCAGATAAATGTGAGGTTATCCACTTTGGTAAAAAAAGTAGAAAGGCAGATTATTATCTGAATGGCTGTAAATTGAGAGAGGGGAATGCTCGCTGAAACCTGGTGTCCTTGTGCACTAATTGCTGAAACTAAGTGCAGCAGGCGATGAAGAATGAAAACTCTAGGTTTGCTTTCATACTGAGAAGTTTTCAGTACAGGTACAAGGATTCTTGCTACAATTATACAGGGCATTAGTGAGGTCACACCTAGAATATTGTGCGCAATTTTGGTCTCTTCTGAGGAGAAATGTTGTTGCTACAGAGAGAATGCAGCGATGGCTTACCAAATTAATTCCTTGGATGGCAGCACTGATGTATGAGGAGAGATTGAGTCAGTTAGGATTGTATTCACTGGAGTTTAGAAGAATGGGAGGGGGGGGGAGGAGGAGGAGGAGGAGGAGGAGGAGGAGGAGGAGACGATCTCAGAAACTGATAAAATTCTAACAGGACTAGACAGGTTTGATGCAGGATGGATGCTCCAGACAGTGGAGGAGTCCAGTCCAGAGCTTACACAGTTTTATGGATAAGAGGTAAGCCCTTTAGGACTGAGAAGAGGAGAAATTTCTTCACCCAGAGAGTGATGTGCCTGTAGATTTATAGTTGAGGCCAAAAGATTGTGTTTTCAAGGAGATAGACAAAGCTATTGTAGTTAAAATGATCAAGGGAAATAGGGCAAGAGTAGGATTGGGGTATTGAGCTCAATGATCAGTCATGATCATATTCTACGGTGGAGGGCTTGAGGGGTCAAAAGACCTATTCTTGTTCCTGTCATCTACGTTTCTATGCAACAGCAGGATAAACTCATCAGCTCCGAGAGGTTTAGATTTAGGTAAGGCTGACTCCAATGAGATGAGAAGAGACTTCCACAGTAAACTGGGAAAATCTACTGGGAACTGAAACATTTAACACAATACAAAAACAGTTTACATCCAGCAAGAAAACTTTGAGATAATCAGGGAGATTATTCAAGACTCTGGTTACACTGCTTTGTGGGAACGTAATTTTGTTACAACCAAGACATGGTTGAAGGAAGGATAGGGCTGGCAGCTGAAAATTACAAGGTATAGAAGTTTCAGACGTTATTTTGTTTGTTGGGGGTGGGGGTCATTGCATTATTGTTAACTGAAACCATCAATGCAGTAATGAGGGAGGACACTTCGATGGGTTTTCAAATTTGGCCACCTGGGTGATTACTACAGGTCTCCCAATAGTCACAGGGAGATAGAAGAGAAGATGTAGGTAATTCTCTAAAAAGTATGAGAGAAACAGAGTTGTAATTGTAGGGGATTTCGACTTTGCTCACAATGCCTGGGATCACGTTAGTGTGAAAGGATTAGACGAGGTGGAGTTTTAAAAAGTGCACCCAGCAGAGCTTTTTGTGCTGGTACCTAGACAGTCATACTAGATACAGGGCAGTGCTAGACCTTATCTGAGGAATGAAACTGGTTAACTGGTTGAAGTTTCAGTGGATTTTGGAGGTAGTGACCATAACTTGAAGTTTCAAAGTCATTATGGAAAGGAATAAGGTTAGCACAGAAGTGTCTAAATTAGAGGTGGGGTGGAGGGGGGTGGAATCCAAATATCATTAGACAAGTTCTGGCAAGCAGCTGGAGCAGTTACTTGCAGTAATGTCTACATTTGCAAAGTGGAAGCTTTTTAAAAGTAGTGTGTGAGAATTCAGGGCCAGCAAACTCCTCTTAGGGGCAAGGGCAGCAAGTCCAGGGAACCCTGGATGTTAAAGGATAGAGAGTTTGATAAAGAAACATATCAGTTACAACACATTAAGGGGAGGTCCTTCAAAAGTACAGAGTGCAGGAGGTTGGAAACTAGGAGGGCTAAGAGGGGCCACAAAATATCTTTGACAGACGGGATCAAGTAAAATCCCAAGGCTTTTTATAAATATATTAAAAGAGGGAAAGAGTGAGAACGAAAAGCAGCAAGGATTTTGTAATTAAAGACCAGTTAGCCTGATTTCAGTGGTAGAGGAATTATTGGAAAATAGTTCTGAAGGACAGGATTAATCAACACTTGGAAAAGCTGGGATGGTCAGCATGGATTTGTTAGAAGAAGATCCTGCCTGACTTATTTAATTGCGTTTTCTGAAAAGATGACTGAATATATTGATGAGGGTCATGCAATTGATGTGGTTTACCTGGACTTCAGTAGGGCCTTTGACAAGGTCCCACATGAAAGGTTGATCCAAAAAGATAAGAGCCCATTGGATCCAAGGAAAGTTGGCAAACTAAATCCAAAATTGGCCTGCAAATAGGAGGCAAACGGTGATGGTGGCCGGTTGTCCTTGTAATTGGAAGCCTGTGACCAGTGGTGTACCACAGGGTTCGGTGCTGGGACTCTTGCTGTTTGTTATGTACATTAATGACTTCGATGTGAATGTTGAAGGAACAATTAGTAAATTTGCAGATGACATGAAATTGGTTTTGTTGTTGATAGTGAAGATTGTCTTAGTCTACAGTCTGATATTGACCAGCTGGTAAATTGGGCATAGCAATTGCATGTGGAATACAATCCTGTTAAGTGCAAGGTGATGCATTTTGCGAGATCTAATAAACTAAGGGTATGTACGGTGAGTCCTTCGGTAGTGCTGAGGAACCAAGGGACCTTGGTGTACAAGTCCACAGATCCCTGAAGGTGTCAGCGCATGGGGAGACAGGATGGTAATGAAGGCATACAGGATGCCTACTTTCATTAGGAGGTGTACAACATAGGAGCAAAGAGGTCTTGTTACAACTCTATATAAACATTTGGTTCGGACACATATGGAATACAGTATGCAGTTCTGGTCACTACAGTATCAAAAGAATGTTATGAGGACAGTGCAGAGGAGATTCATCAGAATATTGCCTGGGATGAAAAGGCTCAGTTGTGAGGAGAGACTGGATAGGCTGGGTTTGTCTTCCTTGGAGCAGAGGAGGATGAGGGTGGATCTGATTGAGGTCTATAAAATTATGAGGGGAAGACAGTAGATTGTCACAATCTCTCCCCCATGGCAAACATATCTAAGACCAGAGAGCGTAAGTTTGAGGTGAGGAATAAGTGGTTGAGAGAGATCAAACGAAAAATGTTTTCACCCAGAGGGGTAGATATATGGGACGTGTTGCCTGAGGAAGCCAAGTACTCTCACAACATTTTAGTAGTATCTGGATGAGTATTTAAAATACCAGGGAATAGTAGATGATGGACGAAATGCTGATAAGAGATGCGTGTAGTTTGTTGTTTGTTAGCTGGCAAAGGCATGGTGGGCCAAAGGGCCTGTTTCTATGCTGTATGACTCCAAAATTGTGGATACGTACTAGACATCTGATCTTTTCAGTCCTTTATATTAACAAGTGACTATATTTTACACTTTCCTGGGATCAAAGAATTTGACAAGCAGGCAGGTAATTAGACTGGAGACAGAGGATCAACTATGATGGCACTGAATGGTGAAGCAGGCTCAAGGGCCCTATGGTTCAATCTCACTCCCATTTCTTATATTCAAATATGATCTTATGTCCCTGGATGGAAAAACTAAGGTATTCCAAACAGCTATCCTCATTCATATTAATTTTGCAACTGTGAAGTAGTTATTACTGCAAGTTGAATAAGCTTCAAGGCTGCGATAAACCCTAACTCCATTATATTGAATGAGTATTGCTAAAACTCTCTCATGCTGGATTATGAAGTATTAAAAATAGCATGCCAGCATTATCCTTTAAACAAAGGACTGAAGACATTTTACATGCAATAACTGAATGTGCCTGCATTGTTAGTTTCCTTCAAATTTTTATGCAAACTATTATTAAGATAAATGTGAAAGATGGACAAGACACAACCTTTCCATGTTTAGCTTTTGAAAGAGGCCAGGCCCGTTTAATAGGCTGTTTGCCAATAGCCTGTTGAGCCAGAGGTTTATTCGCTGTTCCAGTGACAGGAAGCTTATTTCCAGTGCTGGTTGTCGGTTTATTCTTTGAGCAGCTTCCCTGTTTGTCCTCGGTCTTTACAACTTTAAGGAGTTCTATTTTAGTGTCAGGTGTACCCTGGGCTAAACCAAAGTCCACCAGTGCATACCTGTAATATAACAAGACATTCGTGAAAAGAATGAATTCATTAGGAAACAGTCAATCATCTTGTCAAATTAGATTTGTTGAACAAGTTAGAAATTAATTTATAGGGCATTCAGTTTTCTATAGTATTTATTCTTTCAGACTTACATTCCTATTTTACTAAAGTTACTACCATGACAAAATTGTAATTAACTTAAAAACTCAATTAATAAAACAAATATTTTAATTTAAGATAAAACCACATGAACCAGTATACAAAAATTTAATGAAAAAGGTTTCTAGTCTTGTAAAAGTACTTATTTGTGATAGCCACACATTGGAAGATATAAACTGTATTTAATTCTTTTTCAGGATTGCTCCTGGATCAAAATAAACCAACATTTTTTCCTATTCATTTGTGGGATGGGGGCATTGCTGCCTGGGCCAGCATTTATTGCCGGTCCCTACCTGCCCTTGAGAAGTTGGTGACGAGCTGCCTTCTTGAACCTCTGCAGTCCACCTATGTGACTTGACTCACAATGCCATTAGGCAGGGAATTCCAGGATTTTGACCCAGCAGTGAAGGAACGGCAATATATTTCCAAGGCCAGTGGCTTGGAGAGTCGTGTTCCCATCTATCTACTGCCCTTGTCCTTCTCAATGGAAGTGGCCTTGTGTTTGGAAAGTGCTGTCTTTGGTGAATTTCTGCCGTGTATCTTGTACATAGTACAGACTGCTGCTACTGAGCGTTATGGAGGGAGGGAGCGGATACTTGTGGATGTAGTGCCAATCACGCGGGCTGCTTTGTGCTGGATGCGGTCAAGCTGCTCGAGTGTTTTTGGGGCTGCACTCATCCAGGCAAGTGGGACTATTCCATCACACTCCTGACTTGTGCTTTGTAGATGGTGGACAGGCTTTGAGGAGTCAGGAGATGAGTTACGAGCTGCAGTATTCCGAACTTCTGACCTGCTCTTGTAACCACTGTGTTTATGCGGTGAGTCCAGTTAAGTTTCTGGTCAATGATGTTGATAGTAGCGGATTCAGTGAAAATAACACTGTTAAATGCCAAGGGACAGTATTTAGATTGTCTCTTATTGGTGATGGTCATAGCCTGACATTTGTGTTGCGAGAATGTTGCTTACCACTTGTCAGCCCAAGCCTGGATATGTCCAGATCTTGTTGCATTTGAACATGAACTGCTTCAGTAGCTGAGTCGTCACAAATGGTGCTGAACATTGCGCAATCGTTGGCAAACATCCCCCATTTCTGACCTTATGATGGAGGGAAGGTCATCAATGAAGCAGGTGCAGAATGGTTGGGCCCAAGACACTACCCTGAGGAACTCCTGCAGAGATGTCCTGGAACTGAAATGACTGACCTCCAACAACCACGACCATCTTCCCATATGTCAGGTATGACTCCAATCAGAGAGTTTGCCCCCTGATATCCATTGATATTTTGCTAGGGCTCCTTGGTGCCACACTCAGCCGAATGCAGCTTTGATGTCAAGGACTGTCACTCTCACGTCACCTCTGGAATTCAGCTCTTTTGTCCATGTTTGAACCAAGGCTGTAATGAGATCAGGAGCTCAGTGGCCCTGGCGGAACCCAAACTGGGCGTCACTGAGCAGGTGCTGCTTGATAGCGCCGTTGATGACAGCTTCCATCACTTTACTGATGATCAAATGGAGACTGATGGGGCGGTAACTGGCCTGGTTAGATTTGTCCTGCTTTTTATGTACAGGACATACTTGGGCAATTTTCCACATTGTCTGATAGATACCAGTGTGGTAACTGTACTTGATCAGCTTGGCTAGGGGAATGGCAAATTCTGGAGCACAACTCTTTAGTACTATTGCCGGAATGTTGTCAGAGCTCATAGCCTTTGCAGGATCCAGTGTCTCCAACCGTTTCTTGAAAGTGAATCGAGTTGGCTGAAGACAGGGATCTTTAATGCCAGGGACCATTGGAGGAGGCCGAGATGGATCATTCACTCTGCACTTCTGGCCGAAGATTGCTGCGAAAGCTTCACCTTTATCTTTTGCACTGATGTGCTGGGCTCTTCCATCATTGGGGATATTTATGCAGCCTCCTCCTCCAGTGAATTTCTTAATCGACCACCACCATTCCCAACTGCGTGTGGCAGGACTGCAGAGTTTAGATTTGATCCGTTGGTTGTGGGATTGCCTAGATTCTGTCTGTCTATCACTTGATGCTTATGCTGTTTGGCATGCAAGAAGTCCCGTTTGGTGGCTTCACCAAGTTGACACCTCATCTCCAGGTATGCCTGGTGCTGCTCCTGATGTGTCCTCCTGCACTTTCCATTGAACCAACATTGATCCCCTGGCTTGATGGTAATGGTTCAGTGGGGGATATGCCAGGCCACGAGGTTACTGATTGTGCTGGAGTACAATTCTGTTGCTGTTGATGGCCCACAGCCCTTCATGGATGCCCAGTCTTGAGTTGCTAGACCTGTGCGAAGTCTGTCCCATTTAGCACAGTGACAGTGCCACACAACACGATGGAGGTAATCCTCAATGTGAAGGCAGGACGACTTCTCCACAAGGACAGTGCAGTGGTCACTCTCACTGATACTGTCATGGACAGATGTAAATTAGGTGGATTAGCCATGCTAAATTATCCATAGTGTTCAGGGATGTGCAGGTTAGCCATGGGAAAGGCAGGGTTACAGGGATAGGGTTCAGGGATGGGTCTGTGTGGGATGCCCTTCAGCAGCTCGACCCGAGCCACTCTTGGTGGTGGACGTTGAAATCCCCTACTCGGAGTACATTTTATGCCCTTGCCATCCTCAGTGCTTCCTCCAAGTGTTGTTCAACCTGTAGAAGGAGCAATTGACCAGCTGAGGGAGAACATTACATGGTGATCAGCAGACCGTTTCCTTGCCCATATTTAACCTGAAGCCACGAGACTTCATAGCATCCAGAGGGCTCCCAGGGCAACCCCCTCTTCACTGTATACCATTGCTACCACCTCTGCCAGGTCTGTCCTACTGGTGGACAGGACATATCCAGGGATTGGTGATGGTGGTGTCTGGGACATTATCTGTAAGGTATGATTCCATGAGTATGACTATGTCAGGATGTTGCATGGCTAGTCTATGAGGCAGCTCTCCCAATTTTGGCACTAGCTCCCAGATATTAGTAATGAAGATCCTGCAGCGTTGACAGGGTTGTTTCAGCCATTGTCTTTTCCGGTGCCTAAATCGATGAGACTGGTTTCATTTCTTTGAGACTTTGTAGCGATTGGTACAACTGAACAGCTTGCTAGGCCATTTCAGAGGGCAACTGAAAACCAACCACAATGCTGTAGGTCTGGAGTCACGTGCAGGCCAGATGAGGTGAGGATGGCAGATTTCCTTCCCTGATGGACATTAGTGAACCAGATGGGTTTTTCCAATAGTCAACAATGATTTCATGGTCATCAGTAGATTCTTAATTCCAGTATTTTTTTTAATTGAATTCAAATTCCACCATCTACTGCAGTGGGATTTGAACCCAGAACATTAGCTGAGTTTCTGGATCAACAGTCTAGTGATAATATCACTGGGCCATTGCCTACCCCTATTAAGTACACTTTTAACAAAATACCTTACAGATACAACTGGCATGAAATAATACGTCATTCCCTTTACCCAAACAATATGCTTGAATTACATCACAACATAGACATTAAGTAAAAATTCATACTTTTTCAGGCGCCCATTGTACAGGAAGTTGCTTGGCTTGATATCACGATGAATGATGCCAAAGTGATGAATGCGTTTCAAGGCTTTTAATAAGTTGTACATATACTCCTGTACATCTTCCAACTTCATAGAACTCAGAAGATCCTGAAAAAGAACGCATTTCATTTAAAATAAAATCATTCCCAGAACATTTCCATTTTTAGTTAATCCTGGGCACTGTAATATCAAACGCAAATTGAATTTATAAATAAACTTACCAAAAAAGACTCATGTTCTAGATATGGCATGACAATAACCACATGATCATCTTTCCTTAAGCAGTATTTAACTCCCATTACATTGTCTTGACCCCTAGAATAAATGCAAACAACAGGTACAGAAGTTGATCAAAAAGGAAGTCTATTTTATCATAAAATCAAATTGTATTATGTAAAGCATGTTAATAATTGCACTTATCTAATTGTTGTCAAAAGCAAGAAGTCAAAATTTGGGAATATACAATAAGGTATTTCTAAATGCAAGAGCATAAAGAAAGATCCATAAATTCTCTATTTTAAAACATCAATAACTCAATAATATAATAGGTACGTGCTGTGTAATATAAACTGACTTTAAGTTTATTTCAACATTCAAGAACATACTAGCATTATCTGTATATTGCATTTCTAAAAAAAAAACTGGCACGAGCTGTCACTAGTTAAATACTTCATAATAACAGCACAACTCATTGAAGTAACAAGGATGCCAAGTCATCACAAAATATCTCTTACACAGTTTAAAATATTTAGGGGTAAACAAATTGATATGGAGAAGATGACAAGTTTGGAGATGAGAATGGGCAGTTAAAACACAAATACTGAACAGGCCAGTTACAAAATGAGTTTCAACAGAATTAAAAAATAGTTTGTTATGGTTGAGGTTCAAAGGGTGTCAAATATAGCAAAATATTTCTGCGGGAATGCAATATGTAATTACTTCCATTTGTTCTATTAAAATAATAAAAAGAATTAAACAGTCATCCGTCATAATAGCATATTCACAGAAAAGTATCTAATGTGGCATAAAATAGCCACATAATCTAAATAGAAAGGCAGCCCTTTTCCTTTTAGATCGGTTACCTCAGCACATCAAGGCAACCTCAGCAGTACGTCTGTTCTAACTCAACTCGAGGTTTCTCATTAAGAATGACAACTTTGTTCCAGACGCAAGATAAATTCTTATCAACAGCACCCGTATGTTCTGTCTAAATGAATTACTAATTGTAAACTTGAATCAGCAATGTTCACACGAGAGTCTAATAGATTGTTTTTAAATTGAGGGCAGGCAGTTCAAGTGAAAGATGACAGGTCATGTCTTTTAAATCACTTCTGCTTTTCAATTTCAACCGGTGTTCAATAGCAGAGTTAACTAAATTAGGTTTAAAAAAAGGAAGTGTCCTTTTATATCACTGGGGTCCGCAGCACCAGCATCAAATGACAAAGGACTCCTTTGTTAAGTTAGTTTAATAGCAGAGTCACTCTTGATATGAATAAGCCCACCATTTTTGATCACGATATCACAACACTGAGTACTTTAACACCACAGTGCATCCAAATAAAAAGTGACCAATGAATGACTGAGAATACTTTTTAAGCACTAGGAAACTTGCTGAGCTTCTAAGTAGCAGGTGATTCACAGTAGCATGTTCTACAAGCACAACTGAATAGACAACCACTTTCTCTACGTGTTCTAGCAGCTGATGTTGTAGGATTTGTAGAGTTACGCTTTCCCGTGAGGGTGATGGGCGGCATGAAGGAGGCCAACAAAAAGGGAGAGGGAAAAAAATACGAAAAGGACACGTATCTGCAGGCTGCATAGATGTTTTAAAAGAAAATCCATAGGTATTTGCTTGTTGCATAGACAATCTAGCTGAGCATTATAAATAAAACCTTGATTTAAATACAATAAACCTGATTGATAAAAAAATGTTGTGGCTTGATTTAAACCTTCATGTTACAAAGAACTCTTAAAAAAGCAAAAATCAAAAAGCAAGAATCAATACAGAAGCAAACAGCATGGACACTGTCATATACCATCTGTCAAGAAAAAGTGGTAATGGGCAGAATTTCCCATGTCCACCCTGGAGCTTTTAGAAGAGTGGGTGGGAGAACTTGGTTGGGAGGCAAAAAAATTAGTCTTCTGTTGGCATTTAATGTTTTGCCAAAAAGTTCTCAGAACCTTTCATGTGGTTTGGCTTTTCAGGCCTTCACGTTCAGGAGCCTGTTGTGCACTCATTAGCATGCCATAAATACTCAAATCTGCAGCCTGCTCACAGGCACAATCCTGTCGGCCAAAAACAAGAACGTTCACCACTACAGCCATATAGGAGTACCTGCAGGAAAACTTCCTTCCTCTAAGCTCTATTAAATACAAACTTCGGCTACTTGACTCATTCATCTCTTCGTGCAAACACCGACAGTATCAACACAGGAAAACTTCACCTCTAATCAGCTCAAGAAGTCTGGCTTGTTAGACGCTTACAGTAATAGGGGTAAAGCACAACTGGAACCAACAAGCCTACCCACAGTGGAGTCAGCACACTGGCTGATGCCAGCAAATTGTACTGGGCAGACAAATGGGGCTGTGCACAGAAGGCCAGCTTTTGTGGTTGTGTCCTTGTTCCATGCAAGCCCAGTGACATGATGGTGCATGAGCTGCTGAGTGTTGTAGCTCCTTTTAAGTGCGAGCCCTGGGAGATCTGTGAGAAGCAAGGTACTGCCAGAAGTGCTATATTGTTAGTTCCAATGATATGATAAACATTGACCGCACATGGCATCTGTTGGAGGTGCCTGGTACTAAATCTCCTATGAGATAGTTGTTACGACCAGGTGAGCAGTCACAGCTCACGCCCATCTTATAAACCCCCTCTTGGTCTGCTGCACCAATTCTTTTTTGAAATCAATATCCATTATACTTCAATTAAACTTGATTAGATCCAAGAAATGAAGGAGAACCTGTTCAAAACTCTGTTCCCCTCAAAAAAACAAAGTGCAGTTTTATTACACAAAATAATTGCAACAACACACAAAAACACTAGTAATGAGCTTACAAAGAAAAGGGTTGAATAGGGACAAGAGAAGCTGGGTATCTGCAATAGACTGTCTTTGAGTAGTGAGAATGAAAAGTCCAGACACCAGCTGTTTAGCTGTTGTCGTCTTCCTTCCGTAAATGGTGAACAAGAACATCTTGGAGTTCTCAGTAAATCATTGTTCATGTTCCAAATTGAAAGGGAGAGAGCAAGTCTTCCAGTTTTTGTTCACAAATCCGTGTTTGTTGTCTCTCTCCTACTGTTCAGATGCAGCTGTGGATAAAAAGTTCCATCTGTATATTCCTAACTCTTATCATTGCTTTTCCAAGCTGAATATTTCGTGGACAACTTTTCAGCTCAAGATGCAACTTTCAAAAAGGTGTGAATCAGCCAAGACATACAGATTCGAGTTCAGGTGCTCTTTTAGAGAGATGTTAATTTTGGCTCAAAACAATCCTTGTTTATTGAGGAGTTCATGAGCTTAGCTCAATCTACCAGGTAACTGCAGCAGCTATATTAGTTCTATTAGACCGTACAAAAAAGAAACAGGAGTTGGCAGTTTGGCCACTTGAGCCTGCTCTGCCATTCAATAAAATCATGGCTGATCTGACATTCTTCACATTCATTTTGCTGTCCTCGCCCCCATAATCCTTGATTCCTCTTCTGATCAAGAATCTATCGACCTCAGCCTTAAAAATACACAAGGACTCTGCCCCCACAGTTCTCTGTGGCAAGGAGTTCCAAAGACTCAAAACCCTCAGGGAAGAAATTCCTCGTGACAAATGACTGCACCTCCCAATTGCGAACTGCTTCAACTCTCCCTCCTTCTCCTTGGACGACATGTCCATCCTAGGCCTCCTCCAGTGCCACAATGATGCCACCCAAAGGCTGCAGTAACAGCATCTCCTATTTCGCTTGGGAACCCTGCAGCCCAATGGTCTCAACATGGACTTCACAAGCTTCAAAATCTCCCCACCCCCGACATCACCCCAAGACCAGCCCAGCTCGTCCCTGCCTCCTTGACCTGTCCGTCTTTTCTCCTACCTATCCACTCCTCCCACCTCACTGGCCAACCCCACTCCCACTTCCTACCTACTAGTCTCATCCCCACCTCCTTGACCTGTTTGTCTTCCCTTCCACCCACCCGCCCCTCCCTCCCAACTGACCAAACACCATCCCAACTCCCTACTTACACTCACCTTTAATGGCTCCATCCCCACCTCCTCGACCTGTCAGTCTTCTCTCCACCTACCTGCTCCTTTATCCACCTTCCATCATCGTCTCTCCCTCTCTCTATCTACCTCAGAGTCCCCTTCCCCTTCCCCTTCCCCATTTCTGAAGAAGGGTCCAGACCCGAAACGTCAGCTTTCCTGCTCCTCTGATGCTGCCTGGTCTGCTGTGTTCATCCAGGTCTACACCTTGTTATCTCAGACTCCAGCATCGGCAGTTCCTGCCATCTCCTCTTCATCATCTCCATCTTAAATCGGCACCCCTTTATTCTGAGACTATGCCCTCTGGTTCTAGACTCTCCCAATGTGGGGAAGCATCCTCTCAGCTTTTACCCTGTCAAGCCCTTTATGAGTCCTCAATGGTTCAATGATATCAGCTCTCATTCTTCTAAACTCCGAGTAGACTCCCAACCTGTTTAGCCTTTGCACACAAGACAATCCATCCATACCTGGGATCATCCTGGTGAACCTTCTCTGAACTGTCTGATGAAATAATATCTTTCCTTAAATAACGGAATCAATACTGCTCACACTACTCCAGATGTGGTCTCACCTTGTACAGCTGCATTAAGACTTCCTTACTCCAACCCCCTTGAACAAGTACAACATTCCATTAGCCTTCCTGATTACCTGCTGTACCTATTTGCTAGATCTCTGTGTTTCATGCTTAAGTACCCCCAAGTCCCTTTGTGTTGCAGCTTTCCCTATTTAAATAATATTGTGTACTTTTGTTCTTCCTTCCAAAATGAACTTCGCATTTTCCCACATTATATTCTACTTGCCAACTTTTTGCCTGCTTACTTAACATATTAATATTTCTGTAAACTGCATTCTTCTCACAACTTGCCTTTCCATCTATTTTTGTGTCATCTGCAAGTTCAGCTACAGTACATTAATTTCCCTCCTCGAAGTCAATAAACATATATTGCAATCAGCTACAGTCCCAGCACCGATCCCTGCAGAACTGCTGGTCATGGGTTGCCAACCTGAAAAAGAACCCATACCCACTGCTGTTTCCTGCCCATGAGCCAGTTCTCTATTCACAGCAATATACT